ACAAACGGAAGGGCCCCGCGCATACACCCGGGAGTTCCAAGAAGGGACGTCCACGTGCCTCACCATCCCCACCGTCCACCTTCCTAAAAGGTCCACAGAGGGATTCCCCCCCCTCTCCAACTCCGTCGACCGACTCTTCAATAACAATGTCGTCAAACTGCTCCTCTTCCGACACCGAGTCAAACAAATCCGCCCAACACTCCACCCTGACTACTAAACCTCCACCAGCCAAAACATCCGAACAACAAATCCCGACATCAGCCAAACCCAAGCAAATCAGGCCACCCCCCTTAATCTTAAACTCTGCGTCCTGGCGAAAAATCGCACCAACCATCTACAAACTTCCGAACTTCACTCCATCGGCAATTACAGCCAAAACCACATCCAATGGACAAATAACTGTCCAAACTACCGACCCCACCCACTTCCGACAAATTCAGAGAGTCCTAGTTGACAGCAAAACTGAATTCCATACCTTCAGCCTCCCTGAAGATCGTTCCCTTAAGGTCGTTCTAAAGGGCATACCGACCGACATCACCACTGACGATCTAAAATCCGAACTAGAAACCCTAAACTTCCAAACAAAATACATTCGCCGTTTCGGTACTCCCGAAAAACCGATGCCCATGTGCCTCGTACACATTGCGGCAACCCCGAACGCCAAGGATATCTTCCTTCTCAACTCCCTATTTTATCTTACAATTTCGGTAGAAGCCCTTAAACCTTCCGGCCCGGCACAATGTTTTTCGTGCCAACGTTTTGGACACGGTTCCCGTTACTGTGGCCACCCACCCAGATGCGTCAAGTGCGCAGGAAATCACTTGGCATCTGAATGCCAAAAAACTCCCGAGCAAACCCCGACATGCTGCAATTGCGGCGGGCCTCATACGGCTAATTTCCGCGGATGCCCACATCTCTTGACGATAAAACCCAAAATCGCACCACCAACAACCAAACCTCAAACCCTGCCGCCGACAACTCAATCTTTTACACCACCCCCGCCCCCAACAACAACTACAATAAAACCCCAAACCCGCTCGTACGCTGCAGCCACCACCGGCCAAGCGCCCCCACCACCACCACCACCAAAACCGACCAATCCCGAAGCCCCACAAATTAACCTGTCCCTCATTTTAAACCTCCTGACCAACCTCTTAACAGCCATAGTAAACAACCAGGACCCCAAAACCCTGATACAAACAGCAATACAATCATTCTTAACCATACTATCCCCCCAAAATGGATAACTTAAAAATTCTATTTTGGAACTCAAACGGCATTAACCACAAACTTGACGAACTGCGCTCTTTAGCACTAAAACTGAAAACCGACATAATCCTACTTAACAAAACCCACCTAAAACCCTCTGCCAGACTTCACATTCCTAACTTTTTTACGTACAGGAACGACCTGCCGCCCGTGCGGGGCTCGCCCGCCCACGGAGGCACGGCCGTTCTCGTCAACCGACGTATCGTCCACCAACCAGTTACCCTAAACACAACCATCCAAACCTCTTCCATCCTCGTACAACTAAACGGCCACGAAGTACTTATTTCAGCCGTATACAAACCACCGGAACCCTACTAACGACAAACGACCTCGACCTTTTGACAAAGAGTGCCGAATGGCAAATTTCGGCAGGCGACTTCAACGCCAAACATCCGCTGTGGTATAGCCACACGACTAACGCTGCCGGCCGTGTCCTCTTTGACCACGCACAACAATCGGACTACTCTGTAACTGCTCCCTCTTCTCCCACACATTTCCCGACATGCACACGATACAGACCTGACATACTCGACATCGCCCTCGTACGACTACCCTATCAAACCCAAATCATTAACCTCAACGAACTATCTTCCGACCACAACCCCATTCTTCTAGATACACTCTGCACTCCGATCTCTTCTTCTCCACCGGTTACGAATCGGTTTATTAACTGGAAAAAATACACGACAACTCTCGCGAACTTACCGAACTCAACCACTCAACCGACCAACGACCGTGAGTCTATCGACCTGGCAATCGAAAACCTCACAAAACATATCCAACAAGCGGTTGAATCCAGCGTATACGTACCGACACGCAAACACCCGTCCACTGTAGTACCAGACTACATTAAACTGGAAATACAAGACAAAAACCGTATACGCCGCGAATGGCAAATAAACCGCGACCCGACAATTAAACGACAACTAAACGCCAAAATATCTCTCATACGTACCTTACTCGCAACGCACAATACTGACCAATGGGACATCTTTCTTAACTCACTAGACCACCAAGACGGTTCAATATACAAACTCAACAAATGTCTCTTACACAAACGTCCAGCATCTCACCCACTAACCGGCCCCGACGGCCTAGTTTTTCCGGCCAACGAACGAGCAGAGCTGATAGCCGACTCGCTCGAACGTCAATTTCAAACAAACCCCGGCCCCGACTTACCAGACGTAACCGCTCACTCCCAGTACCTACAAGGCCTTGACATCACCCGATCTAACCTCTTTACCACTCCCGGCCAGATACAAGACATAATTCGCAACCTTCGCAAAAAGAAAGCCCCAGGTGACGACCTCATCACCAACACGGCTCTTAAATTCCTACCGAACAACGTTATACTGTCCCTTACTCGGATCATCAACAGCGCCTTCAGAATCTGCTACTTTCCCCTTGCCTGGAAAAAAGCAGTCATCATCTCCATTCCCAAACCAGGCAAAGACCATAAACAACCCGAAAACTATAGACCAATCGCCCTCCTCTCCTCCCTGTCCAAAATTTACGAACGACTCATCCTCACCCACCTACAAGACAAACTCAAAAACAAAATCCGTCCCGAACAGTTCGCCTTCAGACCCGAACACTCGACCACACTACAACTGACCAAACTCACCCACCAACTGAGCGAAAACTTTAACAACGACTTAAACACTGCTTCTGTCTTCCTCGACGTGGAGAAAGCATTCGACCGCGTCTGGCACGAAGGCCTACTCTACAAACTCTCCAAACTCAACATCTCATTAGAAATCGTAAAAATCATCCAATCCTTTCTCACCGACCGTACTTTTACCACTAAAATTGAACACTCCTTCTCTACTACCAGACACGTACTCGCAGGAGTCCCTCAGGGCTCCTGTCTCTCACCGACGCTATACTTGACGTACATTAACGACATTCCAACGACCCCTAAAGCCAACCTCTCACTCTTCGCTGACGACACGATGTTCTTTACTAGTAATAAAAACCCCAAACGTGCAACCATACAACTACAACACCAACTCAACCTCGCGTCCAACTGGTTCCACAGGTGGCGAATCAAAATAAACCCGACCAAAACAGTAGGCGTCCTCTTCGGGCGTTCTAATACAACCCACATTCCACCTCTAACCATCGATAACCAACCCGTTAACCGGTCAAAACAGGCCAAATACTTAGGCGTCACGATTGGACGTAAACTTACATTCAACCAACACATTCAAGACGTAACCAAAAAAGCTACCCACGTCCGTGGTATGCTTTACCCCTTACTTAACCGTACTAGTCCCGTTCCGCTGAAAACAAAACTTAACATACTTAAACTCTACGTGACCCCTATACTTACATATGCTGGCTCTTCCTGGGCACCCTTTATCGGCCCCTCCCATTGGAGACGTATTGAATCCGTCCAAAACATCGGCATACGCACGATAACCGGTATGCCCACTATCGTTAGAAACTCGGTCCTTTTAAAATCAGCCAACTTCAAATCTATCCAAAATTCCATTTGCTCTCAATCAAAAACAATGTTCTACAATAACTCTTTTTCCGAATACGATCATATCCGCCACTTAGGTAAAACCCACTCCCCTCCAACCACCAAACGTTTACTCAAACCATACCCATTAAATTGGACTGACTTACATAACTGAACCTACCAATCAACCCCAAAATCCATCCACTAGTAGAGGCACAAGCCTGGAATAGTAAACGGCATAGCCACCCCTCCCAAAGCAAAGCAAAGTACAAAATCAACAGTCTTCTTCCACCTCTTCAATCAACACTTCGTCATCCATAGAACGAAGAAAAGAAGAACCGAAGACACGAAGAACCAACACCAACCAGCACGAGACTCCAGTGAAGACCGCCGACGAAGCCATTAATACCGCGACGACGATATTCTGCGTACGAGACGGCACCTGACGGCTGCAGCAATCCGACTGCCGCTCCGAATACAACTGTCAACGAAACGACGAAGACACTCGTGATACGAGTCGGCAAGAAGCGGCAATCACCGAGCACCGGTCCTGATCATTCCGCGACCAAGACTGTCAACATAGCCGCGAGGTCTCCGCGACGTACGGAGATCCCCAGCGTCGACGGACATATTATACTAGGGTGACCAGACGTCCCGTTTAAAACGGGATTGTCCCGTTGTCCCGACAAACTTCGAACGGGACGCTTTTCATCCCGTTTTTAGAAGATGGTCCTGTTTTAATCCCGTTATATTAAGTTTGTGAAAAAAATATCGATGTATGAAAGAATTAATATAAAACAGTTTTACTTGTATATATAGGTATTTAAAATTAGAAACCAAATTTATAAATAACAGACACCATGTTCAGCTGCGCGACTGTTTCGGTCGTCGGCGTCTTACCACACCGACCGACCAAACCACGCACACGCTACACAATTATTATTGTTATTCCTTAAATATAAAAGTATGTGTACGCCGACGGTCGTCCGCTATTTTTGTTTTTCAATTATTATGAATACCCGTATTACGGTATAGACAAGAATTCTAATTCTATTATGTTCGTTATCGTTTTTACATTGTCCGTATTCTTCCGTTTTTTATAGGCATTACGCGTTTATCGCTAATAGTTGTTAGTTGACACTGTTCGGCGTTCGCTGTTGACATTCGATCAGTGAATTTCTTTCCGTAAATTCACTTTGTATTTTGAAATTGACGCGTAGTGCGTACCTATCGATATTTTTTCTAATTTTTAAAAATAATACCTAAGATGCCCAAAAGACGATGTAGTTTTAATCCAAAATTAAAAACGCAGTTTCCTAATTTAAGAGATGCTGATGAAATAGGGAAAGTTCTGTGTACCGAGTGTAAATCTGTATTCTCAATAGAACATGGTGGGATATCAGATATCAAACAGCACTTACAAAAACGCAAACATGTATTGGCCGTGTCTAGTTCTACCAGTGCTAATAAATTAGCGTCATATTTTATCAATAAAGGAAAATCTGGGCTATCAGATGAGAGCAAACGTATTGCGGCAGAATAAGGTATGTTTGCTTTTCATACTATCATGCACAACCATTCTTTTCGATCCATGGATTGTACGTCCTCACTGATAAAAAAAATTCACGATAAAAAATTTTCTTGTGCTCGAACGAAATGTGAATTGATTATTTCAAAAGTAATTGCCCCTTTTGCAATGGAACAAGTTTTAGAAGAGTTAAAAAATACTAAATTTGCAACACTTATGGTGGATACATCAAATCACAAAAATCTAAAACTTGTACCAATTCTTATCCGCTATTTTAATCCCAAAGAAGGTGTGCAAATCAAAGTTTTAGAATTTACAAATTTACAAGGTGAAACCGCGGGTATTTTAACTAAATACATAATGGATGTTTTAAAAAAATATAATCTATCCGATGAAATAGTTGCCTTTTCGGGTGATAATTGTTATACGAATTTCGGTGGCGTCGAAAGAAAAGGCATAAAAAATGTTTTTGCAATTCTCAACGAAAATTTAAAAACAAATATTTCAGCCATTGGTTGTGCGGCTCATATCTTACATAACGCAATGCAAACCTGTACTGATATTATGCCAATCGACATTCAATCCATAGTTAATAAAATATTTCAATTCTTTCATATATATACAGTTCGCGTGGAGCAATTCAAAGAATTTTGTGATTTTGTAAATGTCGAGTTCAAAAATATTTTGGGTACTGTTAAAACACGATGGTTATCTTTGTTACCAGCTGTTACTAGAATTTTAGATTTATTTCCACCATTAAAAACGTATTTTCTAAATCAAGATAAATGTCCTACAATTTTGAAACAGTTTTTCGATAACCCTGTTTCTATTGCATGGTTGTATTTTATTCAAAGTCAATTGAAGGTATAGTTTGCGACACAATAACGATAATTGAAAGCGATAATATTTCAGCAAGTGAAGTATATGAAGAACTGGAAGTGGTATGTGGAAAAATAAGGAACAGGCAAAGCCAACAATTTTTTACATCAAAATTAGCTTTAATCATTGATGACCTTGATAAAAAAAAGATATACAGCAAAAATAATTTTATAGAAAAAGTTGATGATTTTTATAGTGTTTTCTTATCTTACGTAAAAAAACGGAGTTTTCATTTTGAACCGTTCAAAATTTTTCGATGGACTCAATTATTAGATATTCCTACTTGGGTAGACATTCAAGAAAGTATTCAATATTTATTTAAAAATAAAAAACTCAACCTGGATATGAACATGGACGAGGATAAGTTATTTGATGAATATAATCATGTAGTTCATGTGATACAAGTTAAAATTGTAGAATGGAGAAATTGTTCAAAAAAAGTAACAGAAAAATGGTGTGAAGTATTTAAAATACTAGAAAAAAATCAAATTTCTATCAACAACTTATCAACAATTATTGAATACTCATTGGCTATTCCTGGGACAAATGCATCTGTAGAAAGAATTTTTTCAATAACAAATGTATTGTGGACGGATGAAAAAAAACGGTTTTAAAGTCGAAACCATCAGATCAATAATTATTGCAAAACAGCACTTTAAAAGCTTAACTTGTTCACAATTTTATGAATTTCTTTTGAAGCACCCAAAATTGTTGAATTCAATAAGTTCTTCAGAAAAATACGAAAAAATAGTAGAAAGTGTGGAAGAAGGATTATCAAATTCATGAATAATGAAAAAGCTGATGTTGTAAATTTCCTAATTCTTGTTAAAAAAAAATGTAACAGTATTGGTATGTAACAATGTATTGTTTAATTGTTTAATACTTAAATTTTAATATTTAAAAGTACATTTTTTAATTGCTTAAAGAATTATAATAGTTTTGACTTTTAAAATGTAACATTGTGTTGTTTAATATAACATAAAAAAAGAAAATATTCATAAATATTTAAAAACTTTTATTATATTTAGATTTTTTACTCAAAAACGGTAAAGTAATAAGAAAATAATTGTTTGTGATATGACTTAGATTTGTATTTTTACTCTCTACAGTTGTGTGCATATGTGTTATTAATGTATATGGAAGAATTTTTTTTTTTTTGGGGGGGGGGGGGGTAGACGTTTCAGATGTCCCGTTTTTTTATTTTCTTAATATGGTCACCTTATATTATACCATCGACCGCGTCGTTAAGACGTACCGGCAGCCGCCGACCTACCATCGCGGCCAACTTTACTGAAACGGTTCTTTTCAGAACCAACACCTTACGTGTACCACCCTCCGTGCGCCTGTTCAGGCGGCACTGTGAGATAGAACCGCACCGAACACGACTTGCTAGAGTCCGTGAACGAGTGGTTCTAGCTCTCCATTTTCAATTATATAATTTTTCATGTCAAATTGATAACACCCAACATTTGTAATTTGGTCGCACCTCTACAGGTCCGACACCGCCCGACACGGTCTGCTTACTCGAGCCAGCCGTGCGGCCCGGTCAATCCCTAACCACTGTAAATAATTAATTTTGAACATTGTACAATAAACTTTATGATACCGTAAACAATATTCTTATTTAATAAAAGGAACAGTTTGTCGAGCATCGGCGCACTGTTTCAAAGCTGATATATTGACAAATATTTTTTTCATATTATATAACTATGAGAATGAGGCAGTATTCTTACTTGATGAATCAAAACTCAAAAAAACAAAGTAAAACAAAAAAAAAATTATCCAAATTAGTTAAAACATGATTTGTTGACTAATTTAATTGAAGTTTCAACTGTATAGGTATGTAATTAATAATTTTGTAAGTATTTTATGCAATTTGTATTGGGTATCTATATTAATCAATATGTAAAATTATATGTACTATGTAATAAAAAAGATGTAATTGATATTCATTAAATAATTAAATGTGTATTTTTCTTTTACTACCTATTGTTCTGTCGTATATTGTAGACAGTCGTCAAAATATTATTTCATATATGTAATAGAGGTGGGAACATTTTAAATTGTAAACTATTGACATAGGTCAGTGAAGCATATGTGCTGAGACAGCGATAAGATTACTATATAACACCGCCGCACGCGCAGGCACGAGGAGAGCCCCGTTGTCGCTGAGTGAATCGGCGAGGACGTAGGTACTGTGGTCGTACGTGTGAAACGTCGATCGTAGTACGGGCTAGGCAATCCGGATTTGCTAAGTGTTTAATTTATGTTTGTTTTAATATAATAAAAGTGTTTCCGACCTAAAAACCCGAGTTGAGTTTTATTTCAAAGTCTTCTTCGTTCTTACCTTTAATATTGGAACAGTGCTCAGACCCACACACCTATAGTCAATGAGGTTTATTACAAACTGAACAGTGCTCTGGTTGTGGCGTCCTAATAGTCATTCCAATTTAGGAAACGAACGAAGAACTGACAAAACGCTACCATCGTACCTCAAAGGTTAACAGTGCTAATCTGAATTTATTCTAGAGACAGTCATTAGCCTAGAGCGTACGAGGGTAAGGTATAAAGTTGGTTTACCGCGTATTATCCAATACGGGTGATACCACAGTTCTATGCTATTAGTTAATAATACTTACCTTCCACTTAACACTTTATTAATCTATTTTGTCATAGTAGAATATTGAACAATTAGAATGGTACCTATTAATTATTATATTGCAGATTACAGTAGTCAGTAATAAGGAAATGCTTGAATGTTTTAAATTAATCATTCGAAAAAATCATCATATTATTTGTTATTTATACTTTATGCATAATAATATAATATTTTATATTTTAAATAGTCAATCCATTAGTATACATTTAATTCCGTTGGAGCGCTAGTGCACCTTTGCACATTGAAAGTCAGTTTAGGAGCGTCTTATCATGTATCGTTGGGTAACCAGTATATTTTAATTCGTGCTTAACAGTAACCACTCTTATCATTGATAACGATTGTTGGGCACGTGCGCGACGACGAGTGGATCACCGCAGCTAGTTCCACGCTCCGCACGCACATGCGCGCACCAAAATCTCCTATCAACTTCATATCTTATCAATTATTAAAAACGGATAAGAGTGGATACAGCGTTTACCCTGGTGGGGTCGAGAAATATTACAATATTATATTTATTTATTATTATTATTATTTTAATAATGTTTACAGGATATAATACAAATAAAACATAATAAATCTGTTACTCTTAACTTAACTCTTTACTTAATATTTAATAAGTAAAACGAAGGTATTGAAAGCTTATTGTACTTATAGGAAAATTATTGATGGTCATCTGGATTTATTGTGCCTTTGGCACTAGTTGTTTATTAGAAAAGGTATATAGGTCCAAGATGTGTCAAGATAATTATCAATGCACATCTTGTAATATTAATTACAAATATATATGAATATTTATATTACAGAACTGTATAATAATGTGAATATCATTACAAAAAATCCAGTTTAATGTATTATATTCATATGACATAATTTAAAAAAAACTAAACACAGAATGTACAGAAGTAGTATATATATACCATTCCTGGCACACCTCATAATATATCAGTAAAAGATCACAAAGAAAACAATGTGCAAAAAGATCAGAAAATTGAAATGCAATAATAATTAAAAAAATTTTTCGCAAAACTTATGAAATGCAATAATAATAAAAACATTTTTCGCAAAACTTATGAAATGCAATAATAATAAAAATATTTTCCACAAAACTTAATTATTAAAAATAAAAATCGAAATGCAATAATAATAAAAACATTTTTCGCAAAACTTATTAAATACATTTTCACCCCCAAAATATTTTTCATAATACTTATGATATTAATAATTAAAATCGAAATGTAATAATAATTAAAATTATTTTTTAATAGAATTGTTCTATTAAAAATAAAAATTGAAATGCAAAAAACGTATAAAAAGAAATTGAATACCTGAGTTAAAGGAATTGAAATTTATAATAAAAGAATGGAAACTATAAATAATTTTAATAAGGTACAAGAAAAAGAAATGCAAAATGAAATAGAAAAAAGTATAAAAAAAAAAAAATGTTATGTGAAATTTTGTGCTTTTGAATACTATGAAA